GTTTTTGGAGCAAAATTTAATATAAGACTCTGTCTTATTTTCGGGGAAACACAGTATTGTACTGTACTTTTTTGTATTATACATATATTTGTAATATATTTTGTATTATTGTACTATATTTTTAAACTGCCCAGAGTGCCCTGGGTTGCCAGATGGGTGATATAGAAAATAAATAAATAAGGGCACAATCTCGACAATGCAGAAATTCAACCAAATCAGCACAAATTTCATATTGTTACAGAGACATTGAAGTTACATATGCAATTATGTGTTAATTTCTATTTCTTAGAGTTTTCAGTTCCTTGAAGAGGTTGACTACTGAAAAATGAACAGCTGTAAAAAGGTAGCTATGTTACAGATAGTCAATATACAGATTTTTACTGCCAACCTTTATTACACCAAATCAAATCCAGATTACCATAAAAAATTAGACTGTGGGTTTCCCGAAACTGGTTCTTTTCATAATATTCTTTTGGCTGCTTACTTATAAGAGTTTTCCAACTAAAATTATTCCAATGATTATATCTGAATTGGCTTTACTTCATGATGCAAGGACTCTAATAAACATCTTGAGACTATTTATAACTTGACTCTTGTAGGGACTGAACACTCTATTGAATTTTGTGGTCCTGAAGAGCCATTTGTTACTTGGCACTAGAACAATCAGATACTGAATCTTAAAATACTTAATTTTATTCTTTTTTCTGTCAGTTCACAGCTCTGATGTTCAAATCAACTGCAAATCATACTATAAGAGATCTGGCAAAAAATATTTAGTAGATTTCACAAATTGGAAAACGTGTTAATTCAAGAAAACACTGTCTGGGTTAAAAGCAACCATGGAACCCAGAAGTATGAAAAATATTGATCAAAATCTTGTTGCTTCATGTAGTAAATCACAATAGACTGGGCCCATTGAATCATTGGGGATTTTGTGAATAAACTCCTCCAAAATGTCCATTGATTCAAATGGGTCTCCTCTAACTGCGTGCCCAAGCTGGCTTGGGCACGTTGTGAGAATGGCTGATGGTCGGATTCCAAAGGATCTCCTATATGGAGAATTAGTGCAGGGAAATCGCCCCAGAGGGAGACCACAGCTGCGATACAAGGATATCTGCAAGCGGGATCTGAAGGCCTTAGGAATAGACCTCAACAGATGGGAAACTCTGACATCTGATCGTTCAGCCTGGAGGCAGGCAGTACATCACGGCCTCTCCCAATTCGAAGAGACCCTTGTCCAGCAGGCTGAGGCAAAGAGGAAGTCACAAAGGAAGCAAAACCAGGGAGCTGGACAGGGGACAGATTGGATTTGTCTCCAGTGTGGAAGGGATTGTCACTCTCGAATTGGCCTCCTCAGCCACACTAGACGCTGTTCCAAGTCCTCCATACAGAGCACGCTACCATAGTCTTTCGAGACTGAAGGATGCCTACTACCTCTAACTGCAACTTATTTTAGTACAATAAGTCTCTGTTAGAGTAAGGCTGTCTGAATCGACTGAATTTATGGAGGAGCTTACTCATTAAACCTCCATTGATTTAATGGGTCTACTCTATGCAAGAATTCAAGTTAAAAGAAGTGAGATTTATAGTATACACAAAATATGTACAGTATAGGTTTCAACAGGAATAACAAAGAAGCTGAAAACAAGCACAATAAACTGTAGCACTAATTGAAAACATGAATAAGGGCTGTCAGAAATGAAGACCAAGAAAGATGATTAATAAGTGCCAGCATAAAGACTGGAATGGGAGTGCTGGAGCATCAAAGAGAACTGATTTACTAGAGTTGTGTGCGTTCTGTGCCATCAAGTCACAACCAATTTACAGCAACCTGAATAGGACTTTCAAAGTAGGTAAGATATTTAAGAAGTGGTTTTACCAGTTCCATTCCCCAATGAGTTTCTGTGGCCAAGTGAAAGGATTCAAACCTTGTTCTCCAGTGTTCTGGTCTATCACTCTACTCATTACAACATAGTCGGAATCCTTTAGCTAGCTGGATAGCTCAGTGGTTTAGGCTGGGAGCTCAATTCTGTGAACTGCAAATAGAGTCAGACGGTGTGGCCTTGGGTGAGCTAAACAGTCTCAGGGTGCCTCCACAAGGGAAGAGTAAGCCACGCCACGGCTGAGTATTCTCTACCTGGAAAACCCTGAGCTCCACAAGGGAAGAGTAAGCCACGGCTGAGTATTCTCTACCTCGAAAACCCTGAAAAGGGCTATTATAAGTCAGAATGGAGTTGATGGCACACTATTATTGCTATAGTTAGTACAAGTCAGAATGGACTTGATGGCACACTATTATTGCTATAGTTAGTAATTATTAAAAGTCAAATTAGGCTCTGCTTTCAGCAGTTTATTAAGTGGTCACTGAGCAAGGGGGAAGCTCTTCTCCCAAAATCCAAAAGGAAGACATCAAAAAGAGCAGTCCATCTTCAAATATTTCAAAGGTTCTCTTGTCATTTAGTGTGGATTTCATGTACTGTATTACCGTATTTTTTGCTCCATAAGATGCACCTCTCCATAAGATGCACCTCTCCATAAGATGCACC